CAAAAGGACAGAGCTGTTCTCCAAACTGTTCTCCTCAGATCTTTCTCCAAACTGTTCTCCTCAGATCTTTCTCCAAACTGTTCTCCTCAGATCTTTCTCCAAACTGTTCTCCTCAGATCTTTCTCCAAACTGTTCTCCTCAGATCTTTCTCCAAACTGTTCGAAATTGTCTGAAAAATCGTGAGTCTGTAGAGAAACACTCACCAGTCCTGCTGCGTACATGGGCACGATCACCGGCTGCTTCTTCTGCCCCGTGAAGAGCTGTGCACACAAAACACCAGACACACACACAGGGTTTAATCACACAAAACACCAGACACACACAGGGTTTAATCACACAAAACACCACACCAGACACACACAGGGTTTAATCACACAAAAACACCAGACACACACAGGGTTTAATCACACAAAACACCAGACACACACACAGGGTTTAATCACACAAAACACCAGACACACACACAGGGTTTAATCACACAAAACACCAGACACACACAGGGTTTAATCACACAAAACACCAGACACACACACAGGGTTTAATCACACAAAACACCAGACACACACACAGGGTTTAATCACACAAAACACCAGACACACACAGGGTTTAATCACACAAAACACCAGACACACACAGGGTTTAATCACACAAAACACCAGACACACACACAGGGTTTAATCACACAAAACACCAGACACACACAGGGTTAATCACACAAAACACCAGACACACACACCAGGGTTTAATCACACAAACACCAGACACACACAGGGTTTAATCACACAAAACACCAGACACACACACAGGGTTTAATCACACAAAACACCAGACACACACAGGGTTTAATCACACAAAACACCAGACACACACACAGGGTTTAATCACACAAAACACCAGACACACACACAGGGTTTAATCACACAAAACACCAGACACACACAGGGTTTAATCACACAAAACACCAGACACACACACAGGGTTTAATCACACAAAACACCAGACACACACACAGGGTTTAATCACACAAAACACAGACACACACAGGGTTTAATCACACAAAACACCAGACACACACACAGGGTTTAATCACACAAAACACCAGACACACACACAGGGTTTAATCACACAAACACCAGACACACAACAGGGTTTAATCACACAAAACACCAGACACACACAGGTTTAATCACACAAAACACACCACACAGGTTTAATCACACAAAACACAGACACACACACAGGGTTTAATCACACAAAACACCAGACACACACACAGGGTTTAATCACACAAAACACCAGACACACACACAGGGTTTAATCACACAAAACACCAGACACACACACAGGTTTAATCACACAAAACACCAGACACACACAGGGTTTAATCACACAAAACACCAGACACACACAGGGTTTAATCACACAAAACACCAGACACACACAGGGTTTAATCACACAAAACACCAGACACACACACAGGGTTTAATCACACAAAACACCAGACACACACACAGGGTTTAATCACACAAAACACCAGACACACACACAGGTTTAATCACACAAAACACCAGACACACACACAGGGTTTAATCACACAAAACACCAGACACACACAGGGTTTAATCACACAAAACACCAGACACACACAGGGTTTAATCACACAAAACACCAGACACACACAGGGTTTAATCACACAAAACACCAGACACACACACAGGGTTTAATCACACAAAACACCAGACACACACACAGGGTTTAATCACACAAAACACCAGACACACACACAGGGTTTAATCACACAAAACACCAGACACACACAGGTTTAATCACACAAAACACCAGACACACACACAGGGTTTAATCACACAAAACACAGACACACACACAGGGTTTAATCACACAAAACACCAGACACACACACAGGGTTTAATCACACAAAACACCAGACACACACAGGGTTTAATCACACAAAACACCAGACACACACACAGGGTTTAATCACACAAAACACCAGACACACACACAGGTTTAATCACACAAAACACCAGACACACACACAGGGTTTTAATCACACAAAAACACCAGACACACACACAGGGTTTAATCACACAAAACACCAGACACACACACAGGGTTTAATCACACAAACACCAGACACACACACAGGTTTAATCACACAAAAACACCAGACACACACACAGGTTTAATCACACAAAACACCAGACACACACAGGGTTTACACACAAAACACCAGAATCACACAAAACACCAGACACACACACAGGTTTAATCACACAAAACACCAGACACACACACAGGGTTTAATCACACAAAACACCAGACACACACACAGGGTTTAATCACACAAAACACCAGACACACACACAGGGTTTAATCACACAAAACACCAGACACACACAGGGTTTAATCACACAAAACACCAGACACACACACAGGGTTTAATCACACAAAACACCAGACACACACAGGGTTTAATCACACAAAACACCAGACACACACACAGGGTTTAATCACACAAAACACCAGACACACACACAGGGTTTAATCACACAAAACACCAGACACACACACAGGGTTTAATCACACAAAACACCAGACACACACAGGGTTTAATCACACAAAACACCAGACACACACAGGGTTTAATCACACAAAACACCAGACACACACAGGTTTAATCACACAAAACACCAGACACACACACAGGGTTTAATCACACAAAAACACCAGACACACACAGGGTTTAATCACACAAAACACACAGGGTTTAATCACACAAAACACCAGACACACACACAGGTTTAATCACACAAAACACCAGACACACACACAGGTTTTAATCACACAAAAACACCAGACACACACACAGGGTTTAATCACACAAAACACCAGACACACACAGGGTTTAATCACACAAAACACCAGACACACACACAGGGTTTAATCACACAAAACACCAGACACACACAGGGTTTAATCACACAAAACACCAGACACACACACAGGGTTTAATCACACAAAACACCAGACACACACACAGGGTTTAATCACACAAAACACCAGACACACACAGGGTTTAATCACACAAAACACCAGACACACACAGGGTTTAATCACACAAAACACCAGACACACACACAGGGTTTAATCACACAAAACACCAGACACACACAGGGTTTAATCACACAAAACACCAGACACACACACAGGGTTTAATCACACAAAACACCAGACACACACACAGGGTTTAATCACACAAAACACCAGACACACACACAGGGTTTAATCACACAAAACACCAGACACACACACAGGGTTTAATCACACAAAACACCAGACACACACACAGGGTTTAATCACACAAAACACCAGACACACACACAGGGTTTAATCACACAAAACACCAGACACACACACAGGGTTTAATCACACAAAACACCAGACACACACAGGGTTTAATCACACAAAACACCAGACACACACAGGGTTTAATCACACAAAACACCAGACACACACACAGGGTTTAATCACACAAAACACCAGACACACACACAGGGTTTAATCACACAAAACACCAGACACACACACAGGGTTTAATCACACAAAACACCAGACACACACAGGGTTTAATCACACAAAACACCAGACACACACAGGGTTTAATCACACAAAACACCAGACACACACAGGGTTTAATCACACAAAACACCAGACACACACAGGGTTTAATCACACAAAACACCAGACACACACACAGGGTCTCGGTCAAACAGAAGTAAACATCAAGACCAAAACTTCCAGTGAATTCATCTGATATAAAAGTGTATTGAACAGATACATATTTACTCGAGTTTATCAAACTGTTGACCTTTTTTTTGTTCCATTTTTAGTTCTAAAGTTCCATCTGTTTTAAACAGACCATGAATGAAACATGGAACAAATATTTCCCAAATTTCAAAGATCTGCAAATCATGTAAATAAATGTTTGTATTTCATCATATCTTGTGTTATTCCATCTTTGAACTGTTGATGAAGGGACAGGATTTTTTTATTTATATATATTTTTTTAATGATAAAAATGTTCTTGGAAGGACTGACATATTTTATAGAAATAGTTTCTTTCATTTTGAAGTAATATTAAAGTATTCAGTAAAAAAAAGCCACAAATGATGTAAAATCCTGCACCTTCTACTTGTTTGTACAATTTTCCCTCCGTTACTTTTCCCTCCGTTACCATGACCTTTATTAATAAAAAATCTCATGAGTCAAAAAGTCAGAGGTTTTTCAACCTAATCTTGTTCCATATGGTAGAAAACTATATGAAGCAAATATTCAAACCAGTTTGTTAAGGATATGTAAGTGAGAACCAAGAGTTATCACTGTTTGGATTTATTGACCAAAAAGTGCTGCATATTTCATTCCCTCCGTTATCGACATGAGTTTTTAAATTTTTTGTCTTGAACTTGAAAGAATCTCACAGGTTTAACTTGACCCTGTTGGAGTGTAACTCTTTCCTACATTCTGATACTTTACTTATTTCAATAGTTCCCTCTAGTTTCTGAATAAGAGACATTTGAATGTCAAAAATCTGCCCCTGTTTCCCTCCGTTAACACTTGACTGAACACACACACACACACAGACACATACACACAGACACACACACACACACAGACACATACACACAGACACACACACACACAGACACACGCACACAGACACACACACACAGACACACACACACATACACACACACACAGACACAGACACACACAGACACACACACACACACAGACACACACACACACACACACACACACACACAGACACACACACACACACACACACACACACAGACACATACACACAGACAGACACACACACAGACACACACACACATACACACACACAGACACACAGACACACACACACACAGACACACACACACACACAGACACACACACACACACACACACACAGACACATACACACAGACAGACACACACACAGACACACACACACATACACACACACACAGACACACACACACACAGACACACACACACACACACACACACACACACACACACACACACACACACACACAGACACATACACACAGACAGACACACACACAGACACACACACACATACACACACACACACACAGACACACACAGACACACACACACACAGACACACACACAGACACATACACACAGACACACACACACACAGACACACACACACACACAGACACACACACACACACACAGACACACACACACACACAGACACACACACACACACAGACACATACACACACACACACACAGACACACACAGACACATACACACACACACACACAGACACACACACACACAGACACATACACACACAGACAGACACACACACAGACACACACACACAGACACATACACACACACACACACACACACAGGGTGTATTCAAACAGACACACACACACACAAGGTGTATTCACACAGGCACATACACACAGACACATACACACACACACACAGACACACACACACACAGACATACACACACACACATAGGGTGTATTCACACAGGCACATACACACAGGTGGTTCTTACGATGTTGCGTGTGTCGATGCCCAGGCTGCAGAGCAGAGCCTTGTTGCAGCAGGAACCGCCCCACTGGAACCTCAAACCCAGAGCCTCCTGAACGTCCTCCAGCTGCACCCACACACCCACACTCAGGGGGCTGAAGAGAGAGAGACATTAACACACACAAGACACACACGCCTGTGTCCCCACCTGTGCGTCCCCGCCCTCACCTGTGCGTCCCCGCCCTCACCTGTGCGTCCCCCGCCCTCACCTGTGCGTCCCCCGCCCTCACCTGTGCGTCCCCGCCCTCACCTGTGCGTCCCCCGCCCTCACCTGTGCGTCCCCCGCCCTCACCTGTGCGTCCCCCGCCCTCACCTGTGCGTCCCCGTCCTCACCTGTGCGTCCCCGTCCTCACCTGTGCGTCCCCGCCCTCACCTGTGCGTCCCCGTCCTCACCTGTGCGTCCCCCGCCCTCACCTGTGCGTCCCCGCCCTCACCTGTGCGTCCCCGTCCTCACCTGTGCGTCCCCGTCCTCACCTGTGCGTCCCCGGGCGGGGCTCCAGCAGCAGCCTCAGTGTGGGAGCGTCCTCGTCCACAGATGGAGCCTGGATGTGGGGGAAGCTGGAGGTGAAGAGTCCCTGGAGACGCTCCGACAGAGACGCCTGGAACCACGACAAACAACAAAAAACAAACTGCTAAATGTTCTTCCTGATATCCACCGATATCCACCGATATCCACCGATACCAGAGCACAGACCGAAACAGCATCTGTCTCTTTAAAACAAACTTTTAGGTCTCTCTCTTTTTTTAACCTGCTTATTTAGACGTTTATTACCATGTTTTTTACTATTGGTTGTTTTAATATAATGTGACGTGTGAGGCTTCGTGTCCGAGTCATTTCCCTTGTGGATCAATAAAGTTTGTCTAAATCTAAATCTAAGTCTAACAAAAATTAAATAAGACAGAACAGATCCAGACGTGTTATGGAGCTGTTATTTCTCTCTCCAGTAACTTCAAAACAGAGAAAAAGGATCTTTTTTTTTTTAAAATGCTGAGACTTTCTGGGCTCTTTCTTCTTACCGTGAAATACCAAATAATATCCAGGACGTTTATTTGTTTTTATCACTTAACAGACCAGGCTTTTATTTGAGACCAGGCTTTTATTTGAGACCAGGAGATTAATTTCTTCTTCACAAAAATTCTTTCTCAGCAAAACTGGGAAAATCTTGTCCTCAAATTCTTCTAACCAGTCCGACTATATTTTACAGTTTTTCTACGACGTCCTGGCGACCTCTTTGCCTTTACTCTGTGGACTCGGTTCCTGTCGTCTCGTCCTCTGTTTTTCCTCGACCCTTTGCCAGGACTTTCCTCTTACTCCGCAGCAGCTACAATCACATCACTGCTCCCTCCAGTCGACAAACTCAAGTCATTTTACCAAAACTCCTAAAAACTGATTCATATCCTGCTGCTGAGCTGCGTCGTCTTTCTTTTTTACATCACTTTCAGCAGCGTCGTCTGTTCCTCCAAAAAACAGGAACAGACGCAGTCGGACTCGAGGGCGTCGGACTCGAGGGCTTCGGACTCGAGGGCGTCGGACTTGAGGGCGTTAACACTGAGTCTAATTTGGACCTGGTGGTTATTTATCAAAATCTACACGTGCCCCGGTGTTGAAATTAAACCTGGATATTATTTGGTATTTTACGGTGCATCATTTTATTTGTCTGAAGAGGATGAACCGATATTTGGAAGATATTTGCTCCAGTAAATGTGTCAGTATCGGCGCAGATATTCTACAGCAGTATCGGTTCAGTGAGTCCCGAGTGTGAAACAAAACTCCAAAACTCCAAAACTCCAAAGCGCCAAAGCTCCAAAACTCCAAAACTCCAGGTCTGTTTTCAAGAAGGCCACATCAGGACGTGACTTGAAGCTCAGAGTTTTACCGAAACATTTTATAAAAACTACAGCACAAAGAAAGAAGTTCTAGTGGAAACCCATCTCACCGTGGTCGCTCCTGTCACTCCGCCGGGCGCTCCTGTCGCTCCTGTCCCGCTGCCGGGCGCTCCTGTCGCGCTGCCGGGCGCTCCTGTCGCTCCTGTCGCTCCTGCCGCTGCCGGGCGCTCCTGTCGCTCCCGTCGCCTCCTCTGTGACCTCTGACCTAAAGGCGGCCCACGTCTCTCCTTCGTCGTCTTTGGCGTCTTCGTTTCCAAAGGCGCTCCACCCAGACTCCGCCTCCTGCTCCGCGCCGGCCGAACCGAAATGACCAAACCCCGCCTCCGACGCCGCGCTCGCCTTCAAACTTTGAGCGCTGAAATCTCCGAACTCTCCGAACCCGTCGTCCTCCTGTGCGTTTGACTGCTGTGTTTGGAGGTTTGCGTCGTCCGCTGCGGCTGAACTAAAATTCCCAAAACTCTCGCTCTCTGGGAATTCTGCCTTTAAACTTTTGTCAGTTTCAAATTTGGGATTTGAATTAAAATCTCCAAAATCTCCAAACTCGTCGTCCGGCTCGTCGGCGTGCTGATCCTGTGCCAGGTTTCGGGGCGGGGTTTGGTCACTCGGCTCCTCCTCCGCTCTCACAGATGAGTTCAAATTTCCAAAACTTTCACTTGTCGAAATGTCAGTTTTTTCTTCTGTTTTAAATTCAGGTGAATTAAAATCACCAAAGTCGTCCTCTTCCTCCTCGTCATGATTCTGTGCAAACAAAAGTCACAATTCACAGTTAATACAGGCCGTATTTTACAGACTGTAAGTCGCACCAGCAAAACATGCAGAATGAAGAAAGAAAAAACAATACAACATACAACAACAACAACGTTTAAGTCACACTTTTTGGGGGGGAAATGTCTGTTTATAAAATGAGACCAGGAGCAGACACTTGCTGTTGAAAGACAACAGAGAACAACAGACTGAACACACGTCTGTGTGTTAATGTAACATGAGGCCCCGGTCAAACAGAAGTAAACAACAAGACCAAAACTTCCAGTGAATTCATCTGATATAAAAGTGTATTGAACAGATACATATTTACTCTAGTTTATCAAACTGTTGACCTTTTTTTTGTTCCATTTTTGGTTCTAAAGTTCCATCCGTTTTAAACAGACCATGAATGAAACATGGAACAAAAATTATTTCCCAAATATCAAAGACCTGCAAATCATGTTTGCTAAGTTAAAGTTTGTTAAGGATATGTAAGTGAGAACCAAGAGTTATCACTGTTTGGATTTATTGACCAAAAAGTGCTGCATATTTCATTCCCTCCGTTACCGACATGAGTTTTTACATTTTTTGTCTTGAACTTGAAAGAATCTGACAGGTTTAACTTGACCCTGTTGGAGTGTAACTCTTTCCTACATTCTGATACTTTACTTATTTCAATAGTTCCTCTAGTTTCTGAATAAGAGACATTTGAATGTCAAAAATCTGCCCCTGTTTCCTCCGTAAACACTTGACTGGACCCAGATGAAGAGTTCTTCAGGAAACTGAAGCTGTTGGTCTGAAGTCTCTGACAGAGTTTTGGGACGTGGTTGTTTGTGCTCTGATAAAAGCGGCGTGTTGTATGAAGCTCCTCCCACAAACTCATTTCTGTGTTGGCGTCTCCCCGGGTGTGGACGAGCCTGTCCTCCAGCTCACTGTACAAACCCTGTGGAGATGTTCCTTCTTCTGCCTGTGACCATCCAGATTTAGTTTGTTTTTTTTACTACAGTTTGAGTTTCTTCTGTTTTTCTCCAGTCCCTCACAAGTTTCTCACTCACTTCAAACTTTCTTTGTGCTGCTCGACGAGTTGTGTTTGTTTCATTCACATGTTTGAGTGAATCTGTATTGTGAGTCTGTTACATCTCCAAAACTCCAAACACTCTGCTCCACTCTGTGATGTCATGAAGTGGGAGTTTCCAAGTGAACATCTCCTTTTCTCTTTGGTTCAGATGAGATCGGCGACTCCAGGACTGGAATGATCCAGGTGATTCTAGTGAAGGTGTGTGGAGTTCAAAAACACAGTGGAGCACTTCCTGTATCAGCACATGATGACATCACAGGGTGGAACAGAGTTTTATTGTCTCAGAGCTCGAGTTAAATGTGCAGGTTTGTGTGTTAAACATGTGAGTGAAATAAAACACACCTCCAGGTCTGTGTGAGAACAGAGCAGAGGATTATGGGACACTGGGCCTGGGAGAGATCTCTAGATGACTCAAACATGTGTGGAGGACGTTGAAAACTCCTCAGACATGTTTGAGAGATCTCTAGATGACTCAAACATGTGTGGAGGACGTTGAAAACTCCTCAGACATGTTTCTGATGAACATGGGACACAGAGACAGAATGATTTCTCACCTGTGCTTTTTGAGGTTGGTTCTGTTCCAAGTCACCACATTCATGAGCGCTAAGGCCGTCTCCGAACTCCCCGAACTCCTCGTCGTCTCCCGTAGGCGTCGCCGTCTCCTCCTGCAGCGGCGGCGACGGCACGGACCCGGTGGTGCTCATGTCCCCGAACTCCTCCAGCGCGTCGGTGGAGAGAGGCCGGCCAAACGACGTCTCGGTCTCTGTCTCCGAGCCGCCGTCCTTGTCCTTCTCCGCCGTGCCGTTCGCGACCGCGGCCGATCTGGAGTTCTCGCCGTTTTCGACGCCGCATTCCGATTCCGACGCCAGATCGGAGCTGCACACGGAGCCGGAGGCGTCCAGAGCGCTCCCGTTCAGCGAGCTACAGTCCTCCTGCGTCCGAGCCTCGTCTTTTTGGAAATAGTCTATGTCCTCGTCTTTGGACACGGCTTCTGACCCTGTGCAGTTGTTCTCTAAAGTGCAATCTTCGGAAAAAGCGCCAAAGTCTGTGAATTCGGGTTCAGTTCTGTTGGGGAAAGGGTTAGGGTCTGTTTGTGTAGAGTCGCTGTGTTCCTCTGACATCGTTTTCGATTGTTTGTCGTCTAATGTTACTCTAGAGTCCTCAGAAAAAGCTGCAAAATTAGCAAATTCTGCTTCAGTTCTGTTTAAATTTGAGGTTTCTTGTTTTCGAGCTTTGTGTTCCTTAAACTCTCTGGATCCTTTGTCGTCTAAAGTCTCTGAGTCTGGATTTGCTTTATCAGAAAAAGTGGAAAAATCTGCAAAGTCCTCCTCGTTGTCTTGGGAAAATGGGGCGGATTTTTGCGACGTGGGACTTCCCTGGAACCCGTTGGTGAGCGTCTCCGTCTGCCCGCCCTTCAGGCTCTTCTCGGCTCTGCCCAGATGCCCGTTGGCCCTGCCCCCCTCCGTCCCGCCGATCAGCCCCCTGGACAGGCCCAAGTCGGGCGGAGACGTGGCGTTCAGGGCCTGGGTTTGGTTGAAGGTGGTGGGCGTGTCTAACTCGCTGAAGCTGATGCTGGTGGGAACGCCGCTGACCGCAGAGAAGGTCCCGAAGTCTCCGAACTCGTCCTCCTCCTCGTCTGGAACGTCGTCCATCGGAGGAGGAGACGAGGAGAACATCCGGATCACGCCTGGCTCCATGGCAACGCACGAGAAGCACCTGCAAGGCACAAGCACACCACGATTAACACTTTACACGATTAACACTTTACACACGCCGATTAACACTTTACACGCAACGATTAACACTTTACACACAACGATTAACACTTTACACACGCTGATAAACACTCCGCATGTGACGATTAACACTTTACACGTGACGATTAACACCGTACACGTGACGATTAACACTCTGCATTTTCATTTCCTGTGATCAGTCCGAGCTCTGATGTCCCATTTTGAAGTTTGAATGAGTTCGACTAAGAGGACCAGATTTTCAAAGGTCAAAACTGGGACACACCCGGGTCGGGATGTTGGAATGTACAAACTTGTGAAGAGTTCACAACATTGTCCAGGCTCCACTCACTTGTGGGCCACGAGAAACTGAGGGACTTTTTTTTTTTGGTGGTCTTTTTCCAGCTCGGTTTTCTGTAGTTTAGTTAAACAAACGGCAATATTATAGTTTCATTTTTGGTGAGTCTCCCCTCCCTTTGCTCTCCGTGCTAAGTCCCTCCCCCTTCAGAGTGAGACTGCTGCATGTCACATCAGGTTTGTCCAGTCGCCGTGTTCAGTTTTGTGTCGTGTTTTTGTGTGTTTATGGAGAATTGTCGTGTGGGAGCCTGGGGGCAGTTTGAATAGGCCCCAGGAGAGATCACTAGATGACTCAAACATGTGTGTATGACTCTTTGACGTAAAAGGTTCGTACACACCTGCACTGGACCGTCTCTTCAATTTTAATTATACACGATATGCTTCAGATTATAATTGAGCAAAAACTCCAAAACAATAATTGTGATATTATCAGTTTTTCAATCGATCTTCAAAGATAAATCTTTATTTTGACAGAGTTGGACTCGTAATGTGCGTGTTTAGTTACTGAATATTACACATAATATTTTTTCTTGTGCAGCCCGAGTATTTAACTCTAAAAGGATGTTTTAAAAAGGAAAGAGTTTCGATCTAAAAGTGCTTAATAAGTCATTTCATTGGACAGAAACAGAGCAGAGGATCATGGGACGTGTAGTTTCCTCCGTTTCTTTAAGCTGTTGTTGCATCAAAACAATTAATTAAGCAAAGAGACTTGGAACTGGATATATTGTGAAGGCCCATGATATTATTGAGACTTTTGCCGATACGATATCATGATATTTGGGTTATTGTTACATCCTTAGTTATTTCTTTAGGTTGTATGTTTTTCTGCGCAGACACAAGACCAAACGAATGAAGCACAAAGGCCCACGCAGCGTTCGCGTTAGTCTGACCTATGCTCTTTTTTAAACCGCACGACTAAACTGATCTCCTCTGAGGCCCGAGTCACATCAGTTTTATTCATGTGGGAAAAGATGAATGTTTGAACAACAGGAAAGTGCCGCTGCTCCGATAATGAAAGAAACAATGTTGGTGCAATGAGACGCTTGAAAAATAAAGTTGATGCTGCGGCTCTGATAATCAGACGTCGCTGTGGTTGGTGTGAATGTGATTATGTGAATGTGATTATGTGAAAGAGGACGTGCAGAAAGCTCGAGGGCGTCTCCCACAGGAAAAGGACTTAAACAAACACAACACCTCAGTGAAAACTCAAACCACTGAGGCCCCACGTGACTCCACCAGCAAAAACTACGACTCCTGCAGAAAAAAGAACCAGGAAACTCTGTATTTATACAAACACAGATTCAGCACGTGTGAATTTACTCACTTTAATCTGACTTTTTTACAGAGAAATAATCAAAAAAACACCTCATCTTCAGCTCAATCTCCTTCTTACGACGGAGTATAAGGGTCAGATAAAAAAAAACAAAAAAACATGCTGGCGCTACGAGAATAAAGTCGTAACATTTCGACATTAAAGTCGTAATATTATGAGAATAAAGTTATAATATCACGAGAATAAAGTCGTAATAAAGTCAAAGTGAAAAATGCGGCAGAAGAAGAACCTTGTTTTTCAATATAAAACCAAAAATAAGAAAACAAACAACAATTTTCTTCATTATTTGTGCCTCCGGACTGAACCAGGACTGAACCAGGACTGAACCAGGACTGAACCAGGACTAAACCAGGACTAAACCAGGACTAAACCAGGACTAAACCAGGTGGGACCAGACTGGGACTGAGACCAGGATTTAGACCGGGATCAGTCAAGAACTGAGACCAGGATTGAGACCGGGAACAGGACCAGGACTGAGACTGGGACTGAGACCAGTACCAGACCAGGACTGAAAATGGTTTACTCCTGGTTCAGTCCCGGTTCAGTCCTGGTTCAGTCCCGCATCGCATTTTAAAGTCACAGAAACGCCGTTTCCCATTTCCATGACTTAAACCAGGACTAAACCATTTTCAGTCCCAGTCTGGTCCCGGCCTCAGTCCCGGTCTGGTCCTGGTCTTTCTGGTTTGGTTCCGGACCTGGTTTAGTCCTGATTCAGTCCTTGTTCAGTCGAATGAACGAATGATACACAGATTCTTCTCCTTTACAAAATGCTCCAAATTCTCCACGAGCCGCCGAGATTCTCCTAATATTACCACTTTATTTTGACTACCACTTTATTCTCGTAAAATTACGACTTTTTTCTTGTAAGTTTACGACACTATTCTCGTGGCGCCAGCATTTTATTTTTTTTTATCTGCCCCTTATACTCCGTCGTACCTTCTCACTTTAAAGAGTCAGAGAAAGTGTTTGTGCATTTTGGATGGACTTTCTTTTAAATCTCAGACTTTAGAATAATCAGATAAACACTGTGTGGTTCTGAACTAAATGTCTTTAAGGCGTGGAAATCTTTTTTTTTTTTTTTTTATCTTCTTTGATAAATCGTGAATGATTAATCCGCTCGCCCTTGACGGGTTTATTTATTTTCTGTTCTGTGTATAGTTCAGTCTTTGTTCGTGCGTCGATCTGTGTGTTTTCGTTTGCAGTGCAGTTCATCCATGTTCTCCTTTGTTTTTTCTGCATTAAATTGTGAAATCAATAAATATATTTAAACCCACAAAGTGCCACTGAGCCGACGTAAAACTGTGATAAATATAAAAGAGGACGAGATCAGCCCGAGCTCCAACACGTCTGTAACTTTAAGATCAACGGTGAAAATTCAAACACCAACGTGACATTTAGTAATTAAAAATCTTAAACATGACTAAAGATGAATCAAGTGTCGTTCATTAATAATCTGACGTCTTCAAAAAAAAAAAAAAAAACACTCAGATAATAGTGAAGCTCCAAGACACTTTCTCATACAATTCAAAATTACTCAAGTTTTCACTCCTCAAAAGTCAAAACCCAGATTTTTTTTTTTAAACTAAATTTCCTCGAGTGTGTTCAGTTTGTGATAAATGTGTGAGGCTTTACTTGAGCTTGTGTCTCTTGGTCTGAAGTGTTTCATATCACAGATTATTAAAATGACATTGTTCATGATTCTTGGTCCATCAGAAGTTTTTAAGAATCTGACCTCAGCTCAAAAACTGTTCACTTCCTGTTGTTTTATTATTGGAGTAAATAAACTAAAGTCTCATTTGTCTTGGCTCAAATCTCCTGTGACATTTTTAATGATTATTTTTATATTGCACTATTTTCTGTTGTTAAGCGTTCACTTACACATTTATGTTTATGAGCTTTTATTTTGAAGGGTTTAGTTTTGTTTAATACACGTATCAAGAATCTCAGACTTCTGGTCATGGTGCAGTTCACACTGGGAAGGATTTTCTGAAAAAGTGATGATCAAACCTCCATGTTTGTTTTCCCAGTGGGACGTGTCTATTGTCAAAGTCTTTTGAACCATTTCACTTTTGTTTCTGGTTCTGATATTGTCATATTTTAGTTTTGGGATTCGGACGTCGTAATTGTGTGGTTGTTGGATCCTAACAGCGGAAAACGACTCCAGAAATGTGTTTGCGAACTTCATAAATGTAAAAGTGAATCAGATGTGTGTGACTCAAACCTCCGTTCAAACTGTTTCTCTTCCCATCGGAATTGAAAAATAGTGAAAGGTGAAGGTGATGAGCAGGATTGATCCACAGGAAGAACCAAAAAGGAAACATTTGTCTGACTGAGAAATCATCCCGAGTTTACAGAGAACATTTTGTATGTGGAGCGACAACAAAACAAAATCCTGATCCTTCACTCAGTCTTAGTTATGAATTTAAAAAGTCAACGCCAAAGTGAAAGGCTCCAACTGTTCACCAAGAAACACCTTCCACTGCAAAGAGACCAAGACATGATGTTTCTGTAAAACCACAAGAACAAGAAAGTGCAGCTCAGTCTGTTTGTCTTCTGCTCCTCTACATTAACAAACCGGATTTTGTTTTGTCGTGGCTCCACATACAAAATGTTCTCTGTAAACTCGGGAGGATTTAGTCAGACAAATGTTTCATTTTTGGTTCTTCCTGTGGATCAGTCCTGCCCATCACTTTCACCTTTCACTATTTTTCAATTCTGTTGGGAAGAGAAACAGTTTGAACGGAGGTTTGAGTCACACACATCTGATCACAAACACATTTCTGGAGTTGTTTTCCGCTGTTAGGATCCAACAATCACACAATGACGATGTCCGAATCCCAAAACTAAAATATGACAATATCAGAAGCAGAAACAAAAGTGATATGGTTCAAAAGACTTGAAAAGATCGACTTTGTCAATAGACACGTCCCACTGGGAAAACAAACATGGAGGTTTGATCATCACTTTTTCAGAAAATCCTTCCCAGTGTGAACTGCACCATGACCAGAAGTCTGAGATTCTTGATGCGTGTATTACCTTGAAAATGAAAACCAAAAAATGTATACACATGTATATTTTTAGATATGTTCTATGTGTTTGTTTCTCTTCCCCTCTGAAGACGCACATCGGTGTGTTATTGATGTAAATATTTCTTTTGAATAACTTTGTGTCTCTCGTTTTGATCGTTGTTAATTGATTATTATTTATATTCATCTTGACAACATCAGACTTGTGTTGAGTTTTGTGTGTGTATTTACACTCTGTATTTTGTATTCTTTTTACCGCTCAGGGCAGATTGGAGGATTTATTGATATTAAATGTAAAAATCACCAGTTGAAGTGTCGGTTTTCATTCAGAGGGAAACGCTTCACTTGGACAGAAACTTCTTTTAACGTGGTGGAAGCTGGAAAACGACCTCCATAAAACTTCACATGTGTAGAGAAGACGATATTTGTTAAAGGACAAACTAACGTCCTTTAAGAAAGTGCGACGACCTCTTATCTCTGTATCTTTGAGGAACATCTCGGTCAGATACACATGCACCTGCACACGCTGCTCTGACGTTTGTTTTCAGCTCTGTGCGATTGTCATCTTTATTTTGATTCACCAAAAAGCATCGAGCGTTATTGATCGTGTACAGTGTCGGGTGTAAATCGCCTTTGGTTCAATAAAAACACAGCAGACGTGCTCTTGTACTTGTTCTAATCCAGCTCCAGATCCTTCTAAAGTCAGTAAAGGTCTCCTAAAGTAAAGGTTTTTCCTCCAGTGAAGCTACTTTCACTAAACGAGAATGTCAGAGAGCGATTTATTTTAGCCGTCGCAAAGAAACGGAGTCAAACTGAGACGCCGAACAGTCAGAAGCCTCTGAAACATAAACATTATCCAATTATCAGAGCACAAAGTTAAACAAATTCATCAACTTTCACTTATTCAGCACAATATATAGAATTCAGAGATGTGTTGGTGAGCGTCTGTGAAGAGCTGGACACTCCTCGTCTAAACACATTCAGAAAAACTTCAGTTCTGTCAATGAGACTTTTTTTTTGTTGTTGTATTGATGAGTGTGTCCAGTCGTCCCCATTTCCCCGGGACAGTCCCAGTTTTGTACAAGGAATGTCCCCAGTGTCTCTATGTTGGACCAATTTGTTTCCCCTCAAGAGTAAAGAGGCCAATATATTGTCTTTTTCTTTTGGCTAAAATACAGAAAAACACGCCTGAAAATGAGCATGAGACAAAAAAAAACAAACAAGTTCCTCAGATGAAATGCTGACACGTGTGAGTCGAGAGAGGAGATAATCGAGGAGATAATTGAGGACATAACTGAGGACATAATTGCTCTTTTCACAGTTTTCCCGACCGTGTCCCACTTTTGAACTGTGAATATTTGGTTGACCTAAATAATATTGGAATACAGAATGTTGTGTTCAGGAAACATTCAGTTCAGTTCAGTTCTGTCAATGGGATTTTTTCACTGTTGATCTGTGTGAAAAAAAAGGATTTAATTTGAAAAGTTTTTGTTTTGTTAGTTTCAGCAGTGACTGTGTGATTAGTTCCTGACTTTCAACAACAACCCTAAACACAAGGAGCACACAAAACAAACACACACACACACACACACACACACAAAACAAACACACACACACACAAAAAGTGTTATTTGAACTCTTTGAGAGTTAAATGTGTGTTGGGGTGATTTGTCAGAGTTGATTTGGTTGAAGTTAATTCAACTTCTCTTAGTGTTAATTTGTCTCCTCCACTTCAAACTCCCTCCAGAGAAGAACCAGTCTGAACCAGTTTTGTTCTGAATTTCATCTTAAATTAACTCAAATAAAGTGTCAAAATAAAACTCCTCTGTGTGTTGTTGAGTTAAATCAGGATAACTCTACAAAGTGTTATCTGTTTACTCTCTAAACGTTCATATAACTCTGGATTTGGGTTAAACAGGAAGTTTGGTACAGTGTTACTTCATGAACTTTTACACAAATGTTAAATTAACTCTAGAACAGAGTGACTCAGATAAACACTGAGGAAATGTTTCTTTGAGAGTCCAGTTTAACACTCCACTTTGAGCAGATTTTCAAAATAAAAAACTGGGACATCTCCATTTTTTTGCGCTTGGTAAAAATTAAATTGTGTAATTAAGGAAAATATTTTTTCAGAGCCCATCCAAGACAAACATGTGAGTCTACAAACCCTGAGAAAAACTGTCAGCTCAAACATTCTAAACACCAGAATGGAGCCAAAAGTCAAAACATCATGTGATTTTAATGGAAAAACTGGAATTAATTTCAGAATATCACAAAATATTAAAAATCAAGGAGAATTTGGAAAATGAAAATCACTGAGACATGTGAGCGACCAGAGCCCAGTGTAAAAACACGTACAACAGGATTTTAAATTATTTGTGTATTTGACAAGAGTTTATGATCAACACTATAAGTATTTTTACAAAACGCAGAATCCACATTTTTACTGGACAAATCCTCACAACAGTTTTTCATTTATCTACAGATATTTTACACATTTCATCAGTAATTATACTTTTTATGAAGCCCAAATACTATTTTATTAGAGATGTAACAATAACTGAAATATGGTGAAATCGTGTCGTTAAAAGTCTCACAATAACATCATGGGCTGTAACAATAAATCCAAGTGTCTTTGCTTAAATGCAGGTTTTACAGAAGCAACAGTTTAAAAACAGAGAACTAAATTTCCCATGATTCATTTCAGCGCAAACAACATGAAGAAATATGATTTTGATTTGAATCTTACGACGGAAATAATTCACTCCAAAATCTTGTTAATGTTAAAGCAAAAGTGTCTCATCTACAGTTACATCAGCCTCTGTAAAAGATCACAGTAAATATGGAACCGTGAGATTTGGATATTGTTACATCCCTAATATTTTAGGGTTAGAAAACTGTATTTTTTCCATCTTTCTGAACAGACAAACAAAGCAAATAAGATTTATACCTTGAAAATTCTAAACTGTTGCTTATTGTTTTGTTGTAATGTGATAAAACCATCAGCGTTTAGTTCTGCTCCGCAGTTTATCTTTGTAAATATATTATGTCACATTTTGTCTCCATTCCGGAATTTTTAACATTCTGATGACAAAAGATTTGAAACCAAAACAACCAAAACAGATTTTTACCAAAACAAATATCAGTGTGTGTCTCTTTACTGTTGCAGGATCAGACTGGCCCAAAACAGAGACACTGGGACATTTCTGTATAAAACTGATAAATCAGTGGTTTTGTATAAATCTGCTGGGACAGAGGACAGGGGTTCCAGGGACACGGGGACACGTGGACTCTCTGGACAAACAGGTGCTGGAATCAGCACCTGGAAAATTTGCATTAAACAAAACATGTAAATTATTTGGCAAAGGAAACACACGAAAAACAACATGTGTGCAAAAGTGCGCAGGGTTTGGATCTGTGTGTGTTTGTAGTTGTGTTTGTGTGTTGTGTGTGTGTTGTTTGTGTGTCGTCTCAGGGACATGTCTGCGGACAGAGTCTCTCTGTGTTGAATGTAAAGCGTTATTCCGGAACATTTGCCCGGAGCGTGGGGTTAAACAGCTGTGACACGCGCCTTACCTTCACCCGCAGAGTAAAGTCAAGTACGGAACATTCCCCCGTGTGTTCTGAGTCCGTGTTCCGTGTTTGTGTCCAGTGTTTACGGAAAATAAACTTTGACAACTTCACTTCCGTCACGTCGCAGCTGTTAGCATCAGGCGTTAGCATGAGGCGTTAGCCCCGCTTTGACTTTTAACTCACGAACATGAAAACGAACACACCTGACCCCGCACACACCTGACCCCGCACATCCGTGAGTCTGTGCGGTGATTTGCGGGGGTTGAACACTTTAAACACACCGGAAACTGTCCGGGCCGCGGCTTGTTGACATGAGCTAACGTGTGTTAGCTTAGCCGATTAGCCTAAACTGATCTCGGACTTTAAACACAAACAGACGCGTTTGTGAAGCGCGTCTAAACTTAAACTTGTTCTTCCGTGTCCGGTGTGTGCGCGTAAAGTGGCGCTGCGGCGTGTTTTGTCGCGCTTTTCCCTTTAATTCAAGTGTGTTCGTGTTGAACCCGAGCAGGGCTAAGCTAACTGCGCAGCTAACTGACGCCGACGTCAACAACAGGCGCGTGCGTGACGTCGCTTTAGCATTAGCATTAGCATTAGCATTAGCTTTAGCATTAGCATTAGCATTAGCCGCGGAGGGCCGGGGGGCGCTCACCGGGAGCTGTCAGCCGCGGGGCTCCATCAGGCCCGGGGAGCAGAGGCACAGCGGCCCGCGGACACGATCCAAGCCGGAGAACAGATCCGAGAGGCGGCTCCAGAGTCTGCTGCTGCCGCTGCTGCCGCGTCCGCCGCTCCGCTCCAGCACCGCGCATGAGCACCGCGCATGTGCACCGCGCGTCAGGAGCGTCAGGTGCGTCATGTGCGTCAGGTGCGTGGCGGTGACGTGCACGCTCCTCCACACAAACACTGGGAGAGTCAAAGGGTGAAATTCACACTCACGATGAACCTGTTTACCTCTGACAGACCTCAGTGTGTCGGGCCCGGGTGTCTGGCCCCGTGTGTCTGGCCCCGTGTGTCTGGCCCCGTGTGTCTGGCCCCGTGTGTCTGGCCCCGTGTGTCTGGCCCCGTGTGTCTGGCCCCGTGTGTTGTGTCTGGCCCCGTGTGTCTGTCTCCGTGTGTCTGTCTCCGTGTGTCTGGCCCCGTGTGTCTGGCCCCGTGTGTCTGGCCCCGTGTTGGGCTCCGTGCCGTCGGGCTCCGCGCAGATGGAGGCGGCGTGTTACGTGGAGGACACGTCTCTTTGAGTTGTCACATCCACAGACACACACATGTTCTACTGTCCGTCCACATACATGTTGATGTTGTGTCTTTGAGCAGGACACTTGGCCCTGTACCTGACTGTACCGGAGGCTGTGTGTGGTTGGTGGGGAGAGGCTGCTGAGGCGGATGAGTCAGTCTGCCCCGGGGCAGCTGTGGCCCAACGCAAAAGCACAAAAGCCCCGTGAAAAGTGAGTGACGTGTGAACATGTTTATAACAGAGGCTCATAAAACGAGCTGCTACACGAGGATCACACCGACAACTGTAACTTCAACTGTTCACCAAAAACTAAAGTCAAATGTTGTGTTCCAGTTCGTCCAGATCCTCAGTGTGTGATCTGGTCCAGTCTCTTCTGGCTCGGTCTGGTCAGGACTTGGATGAAGCTCACAGGTTCTGTAGGAGACCACAGTGTTTCTTTATGAAGGACACATGTCCTGTATGAATGTGTATGTGTATGTGTGTGTGTGTGTTTGTGTGTGTATGTGTGTGTGTGTGTTTGTGTGTGTGTGTGTGTTTGTGTGTGTGTTGGTGGTGGTGGGAGGGGCCGATGGTGCAGATGAGCAGCTTCACTTCTGTCAGTCTGCCTCAGGGCAGCTGTGGCTGCAGTAATAGTTTACACCACAGAGTTTGGAGTGAATGAAAAATGAATGAATGTACAGAAGAAAACATCAAGCATCATTATTACTGCAGCAGGACTAAACCAGAACTGAACCAGGTCTGAACCAGGACTAAACCAGGTCTGAACCAGAACTAAACCAGGTCTGAACCAGAACTAAACCAGGTCTGAACCAGAACTAAACCAGGGCTAAACCAGGACTAAACCAGAACTAAACCAGGGCTAAACCAGGACTAAACCAGAACTAAACCAGAACTAAACCAGGTCTGAACCAGGTCTGAACCAGGTCTGAACCAGGACTAAACCAGGACTGAACCAGGACTAAACCAGGACTAAACCAGGTCTGAACCAGGACTAAACCGGGACTAAACCGGGACTAAACTGGGACTGAACCAGGACTAAACCAGAACTAAACCAGCACTAAACCGGGACTAAACCAGGACCAAATGGTCTAAAACAGGAGACCTGAACCTCCACCTGAATCCACCTGCTCATCACATCAGGAGGAGGAGTGTGGGAGGGCATCTGACACACGGGAGGAGTGTGGGAGGGCATCTGACACACGGGAGGAGTGTGGGAGGGCATCTGACACACGGGAGGAGTGTGGGAGGGCATCTGACACACAGGAGGAGAACAGAGCAGGAGTCTTGGATCAAAACCCAGATTATTATAGAATATGAGCCATTTTTAAAACCGGTTTAGTCGTGTTTTTTTTTTTTTTTTTTTCAGACATGTTCAGACACAGGAGGAGGGGAGGGCATCTGATACACCCCGTCCGTCCGAACTCCACTTCCCATGATGCCCCGCGCTCTTCCTGTAGTGCTGCGCTGACGCTCGGGTTTTTTTTGTGTGTGGCCGTGTCCCGTTCGTCCAGCGCCCGGTCGGACACAGCTCGTCTCCCCCCGTCCTCCAGCGGCTCCTCAAGTGGCTCCTCCAGCGGCTCCTCCAGCGGCCTCCTCCCAGCGCCTCCTCCGGCCCCGGCCTCTCCAACAGCTCCGCAGCCGCCGCACGAAGCCCGAACTCCGCCATGAACCCCGAATAGTGAGTCCTCCCCGGGGCTTTAGCATCCCTTAGCATCTGTTAGCATGTAGCCGCTAACAAAGCTGCGCCTCATTCAAATACACATCAACTGTTAGCGGCTAAATGCTAACGGATGCTAACGAATGCTAAGGGATGCTAAGGGCTGTGGCAGCGCACCCAAACTCCATGACAGCGCTTTTAACCCGCTCCAAACTTCACCGAGTTCACATTTTTACGTCCGCGCCCAACTTATTTAACATATTATTTGTTTATGACTCGTGATTCTTGTGAAATCGTGTGAAAAGCGGCGGCGTTAGCTCGTAGCCGGGCGCTAGCAGAGGAGCGGCGCAGCTTTTACTCCGGATCTTTGTTGTATAATGAAGTTATTTGCGGGAGGTCGGGGCTCTGTCGGGGCTTTAACCTCGCTCTGCCCGCTCGTGTGCGCTTTCTGTGCTCACATCGGTGCGTTTTGGTCGCGTTTTGGTTGAGTTTTGGGAGCGGCGGGTGTAAACAGGAAGTGGCTGCGTTTTGGAGTTGTGTCACTTTTACAGTTGTTCAGGTACAAAGTGTTACACAACAGCTCAGCCGAAGGTAAAAACCACCACAGACTCTAATGTTTCTCATGATATTAGAGACTTATAGCCGTTGTTCTTGGATTAATGACGTTAAATACACGTCGCAGTGGTTTATTCCAATGTTTTCCCAATTATTTTACATTTTAGCGCCTTTTTATCCATCGTGGAACCATTTCTAGAGGAATTTTCTTCTCTCTCTTAAAATACAGAAGAGAAAAATGCTTATTTTGCTTATTTTGTGTTGTTAAATTAAAAGTATTTGTCAGAATTAGGGATGTGCAAAAATATCAATATAAACATCTAATTTGTTAACATTATTATTTATTTGTACGACCATAAACAAAGAAATAAACTTACATTCTTCATTCTCAGTTTGCTTATTTTGATACGATCGTAAACAATAAATATTGTGCCTTCATTGGCATTATTATTAGTTTGTACGACCATAAATGAAAAAAAAAAACATTAAAAAAAATTAAGATAAGAACAAAGAAAAAAGTGCTTGTGTTTTATATGTATCAAGTGTTATGTTTTGAAAGATCTAGAGCTCTGGAATGAGTGATTGTTTCTATAATAAAATAATGATAATTCATATTTTGTCTTTTTTATATTTACAGTTCGTCGTAAGTGAAACTGTAAACACAAACTCACTGTTCAGACGCTGCTTTTCTTTCTTGGATTTGTGTCATTGTTTAAAAGAGTTTTGGCCTTAGAAGAATTTTTACTTCAGCCTAAACCCTTTCGGTCCTGATCCACGAGTCTGGAGTCTCTGTTTTGTTTTGTTTTGCAGTGCTGCAAAATGACCCAATAAACTACAAAAAAAAAAAAAATAATAATAATAATCAGATGATACAGGATCAATATCGTGGGCTGCTGTATTGATATTTTATTGAGTAGTTTTACGTATATTTTATTCAATTATTTAGTTCCAGAGCTCCAGGTTTGTTTCTCGTTCAGAGGAAGGAAACTCGTTTATGCGACACATTCGACGTTCACTTCCCGTATCAGCACCAGAGCAGAGGATTATGGGACATGGAGTCTCAGTTAAACTACATCAGAACAGAGCTGAGGATTATGGGACGTTTAAACAAAGAGATCCAGGTTCTGTTCGTGTGTCTGAATTGTCCCTTTTTGTGTTTCAGCGATTATTTATTCAAGCTGCTGCTCATCGGAGACTCTGGAGTGGGGAAGTCCTGTCTCCTCCTGCGCTTCGCCGTAAGATTCACACACGGAACCGAGACTAGAACAGGACCGAACCGAGACTAGAACAGGACCAAAACGAGACTAGAACAGGACCGAACGGAGACTAGAAAAGGACCGAACCGAGACTAGAACAGGGCCCAGGGTCTGTACACTGTCTCTGTGTTTAGTGTTTTTTGGTTGTTTATTCTTTGTATTTTAAGTTGATTTTGTTTTCTGTGGACTGGTTTTTCTGCTTCAACTACTTTTCTAATGAGTCATAGAAGTGACTTATTGAAGCTTCTACAGCTCAGAGCTTCTCCTGAGTGGCTCAGAGGATAAAAAGCCCAATGGACCAGAGTTAGTTTGACTTCACACTCTGGACTTTTGAAACGTCCTGCTCTCGTCTCCTCGTTTGTGTTTTGACCTTTGACCTTGTGCTGCGTCCAGGATGACACGTACACAGAGAGCTACATCAGCACCATCGGAGTCGACTTCAAAATCAGGACCATCGAACTGGACGGGAAGACCATCAAGCTGCAGATCGTGAGTTTGGACCGTCACAGTTTGCGGGACACAATGATGGGGACTCAGAGACGGGGGCACGAGGACGGGGACGGGGACACGGGATTCGGGGACTGGGACGTCTGGGACCTGGGACGTGGGACTCTGGGACGTGGGATTCTGAGTGGACGTGGGGACTCTGAGGGGACGTGGGGACTCTGAGGGACTCTGGGTGGACTCTGGGTGGACTCTGGGAGGACTCTGGGTGGACGTGGACTCAGAGTGGACGTGGACTCAGAGTGGACGTGGACTCAGAGTGGACGTGGTCTCAGAGTGGACGTGGACTCTGAGTGGACTCTGAGTGGACTCTGAGTGGACTCTGAGTGGACTCTGGGTGGACTCTGGGTGGACTCTGGGTGGACTCTGGGTGGACTCTGGGTGGACGTGGACTCTGAGTGGACTCTGGGTGGACGTGGACTCTGAGTGGACTCTGAGTGGACTTTGGGTGGACGTGGGGACTCTGGGTGGACTCTGGGTGGACTCTGAGTGGACGTGGACTCTGGGTGGACGTGGACTCTGAGTGGACTCTGGGTGGACGTGGACTCTGAGTGGACTCTGGGTGGACGTGGACTCTGAGTGGACTCTGGGTGGACGTGGACTCTGGGTGGACGTGGACTCTGAGTGGACTCTGGGTGGACGTGGACTCTGAGTGGACTCTGGGTGGACGTGGACTCTGAGTGGACTCTGGGTGGACGTGGGGACTCTGGGTGGACGTGGACTCTGAGTGGACTCTGGGTGGACGTGGACCCTGGGTGGACGTGGACTCTGGACTCTGAGTGGACTCTGGTGGACGTGGACTCTGAGTGGACTCTGGGTGGACGTGGGGACTCTGGGTGGACGTGGACTCTGAGTGGACCCTGGGTGGACGTGGACTCTGAGTGGACTCTGGGTGGACGTGGGGACTCTGGGTGGACGTGGACCCTGGGTGGACGTGGACTCTGAGTGGACTCTGGGTGGACGTGGACTCTGAGTGGACTCTGGGTGGACGTGGACTCTGGGTGGACGTGGACTCTGGGTGGACGTGGACTCTGGGTGGACGTGGACTCTGGGTGGACGTGGACTCTGAGTGTTGTGTGTGTTTCAGTGGGACACAGCTGGACAGGAGCGTTTCAGGACCATCACCTCCAGTTATTACAGAGGAGCTCACGGCATCATCGTGGTCTACGACGTCACAGACCAGGTCTGACCTCCTCTGACCCTCCACTGACCCCCCACTGACCCTCCTCTGATCCTCTGACCCTCTGACCCTCCTCTGACCCTCTGACCCTCCTCTGACCCTCCTCTGACCCTCCTCTGACCCTCCTGACCTGCTTCTCTCCTCTTCTCTCGTCTGAACATGTCTTGAGTGTTTTTCGTCGTGAGTTTTTCGTCTTGACTGTGTGTTTTTTTTAGGAATCCTTTAATAACGTGAAGCAGTGGCTTCAGGAGATCGACCGTTACGCCAGTGAGAACGTCAACAAGCTCCTCGTGGGAAACAAGTGTGACCTGACCACCAAGAAGGTCGTGGACTACACCACAGCCAAGGTGAACCGCACGGAACACAGACACGACACGGAACACAGACACGACACGGAACACAGACACGACACGGAACACACAGACACGACACGGTACACACGACACGACACGGAACACACGAACACGGAACACAGACACGACACGGTACACACGACACGACACGGAACACAGACACGACACGGAACACACACGACACGACACGGAACACAGACACGACACGGTACACACGACACGACACGGAACACACGACACGGAACACACGACACGGAACACAGACACGACATGGAACACACGGAACGACACGGAACACAGACACGACACGGAACACACAACACGGAACACAGACACGACACGGAACACAGACACGACACGGAACACAGACACGACACGGAACACAGACACGACACGGTACACACGACACGACACGGAACACACGACACGGAACACACGACACGGAACACAGACACGACGGAACACACGACACGGAACACAGACACGACATGGAACACACGGAACGACACGGAACACACGGAACACAGACACGACACGGAACACACAACACGGAACACAGACACGACACGGAACACAGACACGACTAAACCGAGACTAGAACAGGACTAAAAAAAGACTGGACCAGACCAGGACCAGACCAGGACCAGACCAGGACCAGACCAGGACCAGACCAGGACTAGACCAGGACTAGACCAGGTGATGCCGTGGCGTTGAGTGACGTGTTTTCTCGCCGCAGGAGTTCGCCGATAACCTGGGGATCCCGTTCCTGGAGACGAGTGCGAAGAGCGCGACCAACGTGGAGCAGGCCTTCATGACGATGGCGGCCGAGATCAAGAAGAGGATGGGCCCCGGGGCCACGGCCGGAAACGCCGAGAAAAGCAACGTCAAGATCCAGAGTAAACCGGTCCAGACCAGCTCCGGGGGCTGCTGCTAAAGACCGGACTCCGGGAACACGGACTCAGAGGCAAAGTGGCTCCTGGTGGAACCGCGGCGGCTCCAAACACACACACACACACACACTTTCTCACTTTGAAGCTTTTAACTCTGGAAAAACACATCGGAATTGTTTTTATTCTCCTTTTCCGTTGATGAAGTTTAATATTTTATGTGTTTCAAAAATCCAAAATAAAAAATTCCACAACTCTCAAACTCAAACCTGCAGCAAAGATCCAAAGATCTGAGACGCCGAGACCCGAGCGCCGTCGGGAAACGCCGTCGGGAAACGCCGTCGGGAAACGCCGTCGGGAAACGCCGTCGGGAAACGCCGTCGGGAAACGCAGCAGAGTCGGTCTCATCTGATTCTTCTTCTGTAAACTCACGTGTGAAAGTCCAGGACAAATGAAGCAGGTGTTTGTTTCCTGTGGTCAGAACCAAACGTCCTCGGGTTTGTTCAACAGTTTGATCTGACACTAAAAAAGTGAAAGAGACAGAACCGAGCCAAGAGCCTCCTCCTGTCCCCGCGCTCTGTCCTCTGTCCCCTCGCTCTGTCCTCTGTCCCCGCGCTCTGTCTCTGTCCTGTCCTCTGTCTCCTCCTCTGTCCCCTCGCTCTGTCCTCTGTCTCCTCGCTCTGTCCTCTCTCCTCGTCTGTCCTCGTCTCTCGCTCTGTCCTCCGTCTCCTCGCTCTGTCCTCTGTCTCCTCGCTCTGTCCTCTGTCTCCTCGCTCTGTCCTCTGTCCCCTCGCTCTGTCCTCTGTCTCCTCGCTCTGTCCTCTGTCCCCTCGCTCTGTCCTCCGTCTCCTCGCTCTGTCCTCCGTCCCCGCGCTCTGTCCTCCGTCCCCGCGCTCTGTCCTCCGTCTCCTCGCTCTGTCCTCCGTCTCCTCGCTCTGTCCTCCGTCCCCTCGCTCTGTCCTCCGTCCCCTCGCTCTCTCCGCTCTGTCCTCGTCCCCGCGCTCTGTCCTCCGTCCCTCGCTCTGTCCTCCGTCTCCTCGCTCTGTCCTCTGTCCCCGCGCTCTGTCCTCTGTCCCGCGCTCTGTCCTCCGCTCCTCGCTCTGTCCTCCGTCCCCTCGCTCTGTCCTCCGTCCCCTCGCTCTGTCCTCCGTCTCCTCGCTCTGTCCTCCGTCCCTCGCTCTGTCCTCCGTCCCCTCGCTCTGTCCTCCGTCCCCGCGCTCTGTCCTCCGTCTCCTCGCTCTGTCCTCTGTCTCCTCGCTCTGTCCTCTGTCCCCGCGCTCTGTCCTCCGTCTCCTCGCTCTGTCCTCCGTCTCCTCGCTCTGTCCTCTGTCCCCGCGCTCTGTCCTCCGTCTCCTCGCTCTGTCCTCCGTCCCCTCGCTCTGTCCTCTGTCCCCTCGCTCTGTCCTCCGTCTCCTCGCTCTGTCCTCCGTCTCCTCGCTCTGTCCTCTGTCCCCTCGCTCTGTCCTCCGTCCCCTCGCTCTGTCCTCTGTCTCCTCGCTCTGTCCTCCGTCTCCTCGCTCTGTCCTCTGTCCCCGCGCTCTGTCCTCTGTCCCCTCGCTCTGTCCTCTGTCTCCTCGCTCTGTCCTCTGTCCCCGCGCTCTGTCCTCTGTCCCCTCGCTCTGTCCTCTGTCTCCTCGCTCTGTCCTCTGTCTCCTCGCTCTGTCCTCTGTCCTCGCGCTTCATACTTGGAGAAAGTCCGATGATAAATCCCGTCTAAAATCCGGTCCGAGTGTTTTAGTGTTTTAGTGTTTTTGTGAGTAAACCAGATTCAAAGTGAGAAAGTTCTCTGTGTGTGTAAAGTCTCGTGTGCTGAAGCGTCGATGTTCCGCATTTGCTCTTTTTAAATCTTTACTACACTTTGGATTAGCTCAATGTTTTTCACTTGTTTTTCTCTGAATAAAAACCAGAACCATCCACATTCTGCTCCAGATTCACCGCGGATTTGCTCTCAACCAACGAGCCACGTTTCCCACACCTGTCCTTTTCTTATCTCTGTACTCGTCTCCATGGAGACGCTGTTGCTCTGCCTGGAATGTTCCGCAGTATGGCATTAAAAGAACTAATCTAACTTTGATTCAAACACTGGTGCTTTTGTCAAAGATACTTGAAACACACACAGTCAGCTCGCCTCGCCCCAGATCAGACCTGTAATATCACCTGTCGTCTCCGTGGAGACGGGGACAGGTTTAATGCCATACTGGGGAATATCCTCATCTCCATGGAGACGGGAGTTTGTAGGAAAGTTTCCAGAAATGAGAAAAAAACAGAATAAAAAGGTTAAATAACAGAAGAATATTCTGACATCAGCAGAGGAGGGACGCACCGATACCGATACTGGATATCAGCGCTGATACTGGGTCGAGTATCAATTCCATGGTATCGTTTCAGTCGATATTCTGCTTGGACTTTGGATGAAACGAGACGATTTACAAACATTTGTCCACGTGCAGCGGTTCTGGATCGACCAACATGATATCGTCTGACCGTCTCGATATCGTCTGACCGTCTCTATCGTCTGACCGTCTCGATATCGCAGCGTCAAGTGCAATAAACCGATCTCCAAATATTTCCTGATATCGACTTTACATCGGGGTGGGACTTGATTTAACAAAATAATCTGTTTCATTAAATAAAGACTTTGTAATGAAATAATCTCAAATAATCACATGAAAATATTTGCCCCAAAAGTGACTTTTGTTTGATGTAAAAGAATTTAGTAAACGACTCCAAATAAAACAGACACTTTTAAACTCCAGATCTTTTACTGTCTGAAAAAATAAATGGTTTTTCATTTTCAAAGAGTTGACAAAGGAAACTCCTGCCTGGTTTAGTCCTGGTTTAGTCCTGGAGCGTCTCGTCTCGTGCTGGAGTTTTCCACAGGTTCTGTTCTGTCTCGTGTTTGGTTTCAATGTTCTCGTGGGGCTGAGGAGCTTCTGAGGAGCTTTTGTCACATCCAACTCTTTTTTTCTGCACATTTAAAATAAACGTCGTCTTTGTCATTTCTTCCATCAGATCATTTTTATTTTTTTTTTCATCTAAATGTCTCGTCCAGAAGAACCGGACCAACGACGAGCGTCTGAACATCACACCTCGACCTGCAGCACAAACGTCCAGCGTCCTCCTGTCCGTCAAACGCTCCCAAAACCTCTTCACATTTTTAATGCTTTTTTTTCTTTTGTAATTAATAAATCGGAATCAAAGTGTTGATGTCCCACCCCAGTATTTTTATATTTATACATGTGTGTGTGTGTGTGTCTGATGCCCTCCCGCTACATAGAGATGAAGACATAGGAAGAGAAGAGGGATAAAAAGGGATGGAGACAAGGAGAGGACTAAAAAGTGACAAGTCCTGTTGTGACTAAACCAGGACTAAACCAGGATTAAACCAGGACTAAACCAGGATTAAACCAGGACTAAACCAGGACTAATGTAAAACAGGACACGGCAGAGGCTTATGTCCCAAATCCCTGGTGTAATTATGACAAAAATAGAACATAGGCGCCTCAAAAACTTCACATTTCATTTTTATTATTATCACTGTGTTTTACTCAGTCTGTTTGTCTTTCAATGATAAATGACACATCTAAATCCAAAATACAAACTGAAAATGCTGAAATCCAGAGTCCTTTTCCTCTTTAGACGTCCACAGACTGTAAACCGGGATCTGTGTGCAGACCTTTGTGTCACCTGTTTCCTGTCTACAGTAAAACCACTCACTTTGAGACTCTTCAGTGTTCAAAGATCAGACTGTGCACTTCTAGTTCACATACAAAACAAAACTGGGTTATTATTATTTGTTCATTCAATTTGTATTTCTTTGTGTCAAACACCAGGACTTTTCTGAAAATGAACAGGTCAGACTTTACCCGCCCCTTTACCTGAGCAGTGAGGCCCCGCCCCTTTACCTGAGCAGTGAGGCCCCGCCCCTTTACCTGAGCAGTGAGGCCCCGCCCCTTTACCTGAGTATTTTCTGAGTAACTTTCCTTGAATCAGCAAAAACAATGAAGTCGTGCAAATGTGTTGGGGACGTTTCAGCCGCTGCTTTCACAAACGCTCTGATGTCGGGCGGTTGTCCTGTCTCCTCCCTCTCACCAGGAGGTTGTGGGTTAGACTCCTGATCTCTCTGATCTAAGCCCCTCCCCTTCTGTCCCAGGTGAGATCGACTAGTTTTGTTAATTATAAAAAAACAACATTAAATGTTCAACATGTGAAAGCTTCCACAAGAGCAGACCACCTCTCTGTTGCCATGGTTTCCATCTAATATTAATACAGATGGAAAAGAACATCGTAATCACCGGGAAAATGATTTAGCTCCTCCCCTCTGGGACGATGACATCATCACATTCTAGAATCTCAAATAGTTTTGGAGCCTGAGAAGCTGTCGCCGTAGCAACGTGATGTTCTAATGCCGCCCTGGATCTCCATGGTGATAGAACTCTGCTTGATGACATCATCAGAGAAGCACGACGCTGCTTTAAAGTAAACTTTGAGTGACACAGTGAAATAAACACTCAAGTGACAGAATACTTTTACTAATACTTTTACTACTGTCAAGTCTTTATTTCAGGATGCAGGTCCAACTTGAAAAAAACCAGGGAAACAGACACAAGGCTCAACTCGGCTTGAAGTTTTTTATTGAAATAATTTGATTATTTTAGTTGTAGTAGTAGTGGTATTTGTAGTTGATGTAGCAGTAGCAGTAGCAGTAGCAGTAGCAGGTCGAAAACCTTTAAAGTAAACAAATGTGTAATTAAATTAGCATTTTACAATTTCATTAGTTATATAATCCAATTTAATTTTAATTAATACACTTCAATTATAATATCATTTATATATAATATATATTATTTATATATATTATTGTATTTTTTTTATCTAGCACATTTCACACATGAACTTAAATAGCTATCATTTTAACCAATAATTTTTTAATCCTATAATTAACTTTTTATACAGTTTTAAATGAATATGAAAGTAATATTTGAAGATAAAAAACAATGTATTTATGTATCAGAATTTAATTGCTAAATAACATATATTTATATAATATTTAACTAGAGCTACTTAAACTTAGGATTTACATCATTTTATTTATAGAGTAGTAAATCTGATTTAAACAATTTAGTTATTCAACTTAACTCTTCTGGCATTTTCAAACTTAAATTGAATTTATTTACAGTTCCTTTTAAACTTAAAACTAATTTTAAAGTTAAATTTCCTCACCAGTTGTGTCTCTGTTTCCCCTCACATTCCGTGGTTTGGTTTGAATTGTTTGCACACACCTGGGCCTAATTAAATGATTCCAGAGACACACCTGGTTACCTTGTTTTTTGTCTTGCTGCCATCTACTGGCCAGACTCAAAATAACCTCATCAACTAATAAAAAGGGAGGGGAGGAGGAAGAGGAGGAGCAGAGGTGAGAGGAGACAGGCTCTGGACTGGAGGTGAAAACTTGGTGCAGGGGCTGAGCTTTTTAACTTGACAACTACTACTACTTCAAAGCAGCGCTCTGCTTTATGACATCATCAGTAAAGGACAAGCACAAAGCAACTTACTGTTTTGAAGAAGATTATAAGTGTAACACGAAACAAACACTACAGACACAGAATACTGCCACTTCTACTGCGTGTACTACGACTACTGCGTGTACTACGACTACTGCGTGTACTGCGTGTACTGCTACTAGAGCTACTACAGCACGTTTACACTAGAGCTTTTCTCTCTCTTTACTGCATATTTGAACAGAAAAATGCCCTGGTGGTTTTTTAGAAACTCTCGACCTAAGGTCAAGCGCCAAATCTTAGAGACTGAGAACCAGGAACTGCACGAGAGGATCCGAAACTTAGAAAATCAGAACCAGAAACAGCATGAGACGATCCGAAACTTAAACAATGAGGTCCAGGAACAAAACAAGAGGAACCAAAACTTAAACAATCAGAACCAGGAACAAAATGAGACGATCCAAAACTCATTAAATCATAACCAGGAACTGCTTGAGACGATCCACGACTTTATAAATCAGAACCAGCGACAAAACCAGATAATCCAAAACTTAAACAATGAGTTCCAGGAACAAAACGAGAGGATCCAAAACTTAAACAATGAGGTCCAGGAACAAAATGAGACGATCCAAAACTTAAACGATCAGAACCAGCAACAAAACGAGACGATCCAAAACTTAAATCAGAACCAGCAACAAAACCAGACGATCCAAAACTTAAATCAGAACCAGCAACAAAACGAGGGGATCCAAAACTTAAACAATCGGAACAAAGATCTGCCCTGGCGTTTTTTTAGAAAATCCCCACCTAAGGTCAAGCGCCAAATCTTAGAGGCTGAGAACCAGGAACTGCACGAGAGGATCCAAAACTTAGAACATAAGAACCAGCAACAAAACGAGACGATCCAAAACTTAAACAATCAGAACCAGCGACAAACCGAGTGGAACCGATACTTAAACAATCAGAACCAGCGACAAAACAAGAGGATCCAAAACTTAAACAATGAGTTCCAGGAACAAAACGAGACGATCCAAAATTTAAACAATCGAAACCAGCAACAAAACGAGACGATCCAAAACTTAAACAATCGAAACCAGCAACAAAACGAGATGATCCGAAACTTAAACAATGAGGTCCAGGAACAAAACGAGAGGATCCAAAACTTAAACAATGAGGTCCAGGAACAAAACGAGAGGATCCAAAACTTAAACAATGAGGTCCAGGAACAAAACGAGAGGATCCAAAACTTAAACAATGAGGTCCAGGAACAAAACGAGAGGATCCAAAACTTAAACAATGAGGTCCAGGAACAAAATGAGACGATCCAAAACTTATACAATCGAAACCAGCAACAAAACGAGAGAATCCAAAACTTTAAAAATCTGAACCAGAAACAAAACGAGACGATCCAAAACTTAAACGATGAGGTCCAGAAACAAAACGAGACGATCCACAACTTAAACATTCGGAACAAAGATCTGCCCTGGCGTTTTTTTAGAAAATCCCGACCTAAGGTCAAGCGCCAAATCTTAGAGGCTGAGATCCAGGAACTGCACGAGACGATCCGAAACTTAAACAATCAGAACCAGGTACAAAACGAGACGATCCAAAACTTAGAAAATCAGAACCAGCAACAAAACGAGACGATCCAAAACTTAAACGAGACGATCCAAAACTTAAACAATCAGAACCAGGAACAAAACGAGACGATCCAAAACTTAAACGAGACGATCCAAAACTTAAACAATCAGAACCAGGAACAAAATGAGACGATCCAAAACTTAGAAAATCAGAACCAGCAACAAAACGAGAGGAACTGAAACTTAAACAATGAGGTCTGGTATGAAATAACACTCTAGGTCTAAAAAAAAGAACCTAATAACATTAAACAATGAGGTCCAGGAACAAAACGAGACAATCCAAAACTTAAACAATTGGAATAAAAATCTGTGCAAAAGGATCGAAAAGTCCTCGGTTAAGAAGCAGAAGCTACAGGAGAAGATCTGAACCTTTTTGCACATGCTCAACTGCCACTTAGAAAAACAGACCAAGAGGATCCACTTGCAAGACGAATTGCTGGAGAAAGTTCAGATGAGGTGTGATGAAGCAGAAGGTGAAGTCTGCCCACACCTACGAGATCTGAAGGAGGAACGTCAACAACATGCTCAGCTGAAAGACTCCCATTCAGAGCTCCTCAAAACTGTCACCGAGCTCAACCAAGAGAAGGTGAATTTGAAGGAGGAGCTCGAAACGTTGAGGACAGGAGTCGGTTCCTCAAATTTTGTTTTTAAATCTTATAAGAAGCGCATGTCCGAAGATCTGAAATGTGTGGAGAACAGGTTATCGGAGGAGTGTAGAGAGACAGAGAGACAACGACAGAGGAACACAGAACTGTCGGAGGAGATGGAGATTCTCTGTGATGAACATGAAAAGATCAAACAGGAGAAAACACGTCTGCAAGAGCAAATCCAGCA